GGTGGGATGCGTCTCTGCAGCTGGCAGACTGCTCTAGAGCACCTTCCCCATGGCCCCTCAGGGGCCCTGGTGCCCCTAGACCCCTCCGCCACTGAGCTCATCCAGCCTTCTGGGTTCCTCTGTCTGCCAGCCTCTGGCCTCCAGTCTTGTCCCTGGGCCCGGACCCTCCCCTGGCCTGCGGCCACGCAGCCAGGCACCTGTTTTCCTCCGGCTCAGGTCTCACTGGTGGCCCTCTTGATCGCCTAGACCCATCTGCTACCTCCGGCCAGCCCCACAGGGTCTACGAGAGCCAGACCGACTCCCGGGCCGTGGGCTTTGGGCTTCTCCTTTCTGGCCACTGTAACGGAATCGGCCACATGTTTCTCTCGGGCAGCGGTGCGTAGGTTCAGACAATACCTCCCTTTTGGTTATCAGCCACATGCTCGACCAGTGTGCCAGCAGGGCACCTTTCTGGTGGGCGAGGCTCGTGGAGGGGAGAGCGAGACGGTGGCCCCGTGGGCCAGGGCGAGGACCCTGTGGACAGCCTGGCCGTCTGATTTCCCCACCACGCTGCAAGTGCTTCCAGGGGGTGGGGTAGGGTGGGGACAAATGGGACCTGGCGGTTGTGCTGCCAAGGAAATGCACAGGGGAGGGGACCCACACAGGGCAGGGCATTTCCTGCCCCAGGGCTGCTGGGCGTGACGTGGGTTTGACAGATGCCAGCAGCGGACACGCCTCTCAGATAATTCCCATGGCAACTGTGGGCGTGGGCCTGACGTCAATGACCGACCAATGTCTGTGTCTAGGCGCTCTGAGGAGAACAGGCTGGAGATTGAGTGGGGGGGGTGGGGGGTGCAGGGCACCTGGCAGCACACGCTCGTGCTCAGGGGGTGGGACGATGCCAGAGGAAGGGAAGGGGGCTGGAGCAGCTCAGGTCCCTGTGCCTGCCCACTCTGCAAACCCTCTTGCTGGCCTGGCTGGGCGAGGCCAGGCTGCGCTCCTCCTGGCCATGCTGGGCTTCCCGACGTCACACTGGTCTCCTCTCGGCTCCCTGGTCCCCCTTGTTAGACACACTTCCCTTGCATCAGGATGTGTCCTGCCTCTCTGGGAGGGTCTGTCTCCTAAACCGGCCAGAGCCAGCCAGTTAGCGCTGCTCAGGGTGGCTGCTGGGGGTGGGGGTGGGTCCTTGGTTTCCTGGGTCAGCCTCAGGTGTATTCTTTCTTTCCAGTTCCATGTCATTTCTGGGAAGTTCCCAGCCTGCACACACGGATTCGCTGGGGGTGGGGTGGGGGGGCAGGTTCTGACTGGGTCTTGTTGAGGGCCTCCGCCCTTTGCCCCCCTCCCCTGCGGGCATGCTTCCATCAGAGAGGTTCCCCGGTCACTTGGGAGCAACACTCCTTGTAGCATGAAACCTGCCCAGAGTGGCCCTCCGTCCTCCGTGCAGGCATGAGCATACACAGTGACCAGCCCTGGCCTCTCGGTGGGGGCCGGTTCCACCCTGTCCCAGAGGGGCGCTGTGAGTCGGAGTTGGCAGTTTTATGATGGTCCCCCGGGGGCGTGGGGGGGGGTCACAAGTCGGGCTGCTAAGTGCTTGGTCCGCAGTTGGAGCCCACCAGCTGCCCCTTGGGAGAGAGGCGCCGCTGTCTGTGAAGACTGACCCTGCGGCGGGACAGTCCTCCTCTGTCCGTAGGGGCAGACCCGGCGCTGACCACCGCCTACCGCCTGTCCCCTTCCTGTCTGCCCTCCGTCTGGTCCTTCCTGTCTCTTGTACCCACCCGAGAGTTCGGGCAGCTGTTTCCCAGCCCCCCGTTGGAAGGCGGGCCCCATGGACAGGATGATCCTGAGTGCTCCTGCACCTGGGCCCTGACATCCGGGGTAGGGAAGCGTGCTCTGAGATCACCTCCTGTGACACAAGAAGTCCACTGGTCTCCATGCCCCGGCCACTCGCACCTCGTCCCCCTTTCCCATCTCATCTGCACTCCCCAAGCCCCCACTGCGCAGCTCCACCCACCCATGCCTTCCGGTCCACTGCGACTCCTAGTGGCCCCGTGTTCTATTTCTGGGACTGGGAATCTGCACACGAGAGGAGTCTCGTCTCTCTTCTGAGAAGCAACCAAGTGGGTTTGAACCTGCAGACCTACAGCATTACCAGAGCTCCTCATTCCTCATCAGCTCAGCAGACCAGACCCACCACATGGGGTCCATCCTGACCCCTGGCTTCCCTGTCTGACAGGGGAGAGCCACTCCTGAGGGTTTCCCAGACGAATGCTTTACACGAGCAGAAAGCCTCCTCTTTCTCCTACAGAGGGGCTGGTGGGTCTGAACTGCTGCCCATGAGGCTAGCAGCCTGGTTCTTCACCCACCATGCCACAGGGCTGCTGCTACCCCGCTAGGGCTCCATCAATAAAGCTGTCTTTCTTCATCTCCAGGCATATCCTCCCTGCTTCCTCCTTACCTCGCTAGGCAGTGATATCATTTCCCACCCAGCTGCCAGGCCCCGGGGGAGGTCAGGAGTCAGTGCCCTGCTCCCGGTCCCCGGGCTGTGACCTGGTGTGACATCTGGCTCTCTTGGCCGGTTGTGACTGATGGCATGTGTTCCCCCCTCCGGCTGGAAGTGTCCACATCTTTAGGCTTCTCCTCCTAGCCACCAGACAGCACACGCCCAGGGCTGCCCAGACCCCACCCGGCACCCACACAGCCAAATCCAGAGAGAGCAGTTCAGGGGGAAATGATTTCAGTCCACCAAGGCTGCCCGGAGTAGCCCTCGTGGTGCAGTGGGTTACCAGCCCCGCTGTTAGCCACAAGGTCAGCAGTTTGAATCCACCACCCGCTTGGTGGGAGAAAGATGAGGCTGTCAGTTCCCGTAAAGAGATGCCTTCTCAGAGACTCACATGGCCACTTCCCCCTGTCGTGACAGTCGGAATCCACTGGATGGCAGGGCGTTTGGTTCCTGGTTTTCCCTCTGGGAAATGAAGGGGCTCGGGGGCCACGCAGGTTGAGCATTTGGCTGTTGACCACAGGGAGACAGAGGAGGCTGTCTGTCCCTCTGAAAAATGTCAGTCTCAGAAACCCTGGGAAGGGTCTCTGTGAGTCAGAACCGATGGGATATCAGCAAGTTATTTCTTTATTTAGTTTTGGCGGGGGGCGGGGACATTCTGAAATGACAAGGGGACAGTCGGCTCATTAACTGTGGCTGTGAGTCCACTCAGCCCAACCCCCCGTCCATCTGGGCAGTGGTGTTGGGGCGGAGTGGGGTGGTGGGCACCTGCGTGGCGGCAGGAGGCCGTGCCCATGCCCCCTCTCTCTCTCCTCTGCCACAGGATGGGGTGCCAAGTGTTGCTGGGCCTTGGCCACCAGATGCTGCGCCGGAAGGTGGTGGACTGCAGCCGGGACGAGGGCCGCCTGTCTCGCTGCCTCAACACCTTCGACCTGGTGGCCCTGGGCGTGGGCAGCACGCTGGGCGCCGGCGTCTACGTGCTGGCAGGGGCCGTGGCCCGCCAGGACGCCGGCCCCGCCATCGTCCTCTCCTTCCTCATCGCCGCGCTGGCCTCTGTGCTGGCCGGCCTGTGCTACGGGGAGTTTGGTGCCCGGGTCCCCAAGACCGGCTCGGCCTACCTCTACAGCTACGTGACAGTGGGCGAGCTCTGGGCCTTCATCACCGGCTGGAACCTGATCCTGTCCTACGTCATCGGTGAGCCCCTCGGCCCCCACCCCGGCGGCCCGTGCAGCGAAGGCCCTCGGCTGCTACCCGCGGGGCTGGCAGTTCCGATCGGCCCTGTGGCACCTGGAAGACAGGCCAGGCGGTCTGTGGCCCCGAATTCCCCCTTGCCAGTTGTGATGTCATGTGCCCAGGCCCCCCCTCACCAGGCACGGCTGACCACAGCTGGCGGATGGCTTGGCCTCCGCTCTCCCTCTCTGTGATCCAGTGGGAACTTGGCCGGGCCGGCAGGGCTGGGTGGTTTCGAACTGCTGACCCTGTGGTGAGCAGCCCCGGCTGTTGAAGCTGGGCTTTGGAACACGTAGGACCTAGGTTCAGGCCCTCAGTGGGAAAGGGAGTCGCCAGAACGTGGGACATTTCCAGAGGTGACCTGAAGCCCCTCTGAGACTGGGGACCCCTTGCGTTGGGAGAGTCAGACTGTTCTGTTAGGGGGAAGACCGTCACTTACTTTACAGCCGAGCCGTTCGTTGGCCATCGAGGGAGCCCAGTGGTGCTGTGGTTAATAGCAGCGCTTGGCTGCCAACCAGGGGGTGGCATGGGAGCCCACCATCTGCTGTGTGTGGGGTGGGGGAGGTGTGGCTGTGGTCAGTGGTCTGGCCCACTTGCTGAGATCTAAACCAACGAGGACGTCTGCCGGTGACTTCGGGGAGAGTGTTTCCGACAGAGAACCGCAGCGTAAACACTGACGGTAGTCTGGTTTTAGTTGGGGTTCGTTGCCCCGTACATACAAGCCACAGTGGCACAGTGGGCTGTCCTGTGGTCAGCAGTTCGAAACCACCAGCTGCTGCGAGGGAGAAAGCCAAGGCTGTCCGCTGCTGTAAAGAGAGACCATCTGGAGACCCACGGGGGCCGTCCCACCTTGCCCTGTAGAGTCGCTAAGACTCAGCCTCGACTGGACGGCCGGGGTCCTGGATTCTCAGAGGGCAGCACTGAGCTTGATGGCACCCATGCCCATGCACCCAGGGCTGTCCTCGGGCACCCTGTGGAGCCTGTCCATTTCCCGACAGGCACGTCGAGCGTGGCCAGGGCCTGGAGCGCGACATTTGACGAGCTGATCGGCAGGCCCATTGGGGAGTTCTCCCGGAGGCACATGGCCCTCAACGCCCCCGGCGTGCTGGCCAAAAACCCGGACATATTTGCTGTCATCATCATCCTCATCTTAACAGGTACAAGGAGGTGGGGTGAGGGGTGGGGCTTGGGGCTCGGGTGAACGCTCAGAGTGCCCCTCTCTGCGTTCATTTCCCTCCTTTTCTGTCTCTGCTGTCCCCTCTTCCCCAGCATCTTTTGCATTAGTGACACACACCCACACCTTTCCCTCTCGGCCCAGTCTGACTGGGGACTGGCCTCCTTCACAGCTTTGAGTTACCATTGTTTAATTAAGACTCTCAGGTCCTGTGAGGTGGGGCAGGAGGCAGGTGTGGGTGGGCTCTCCTGATCCCCGAAAGGTGGGAGGCCATTTGCTCTTGATGGAAGCCACCCAGCCCCTCAGGGCTCGACCCTGCTTTGTCACCGTGGGGCCACCAGCGTGGTCGCTGACGTGGCAGCTCCTGGTCTGCGGTTTTACTTTGCGGTGTTGTTGCTGCAGATACCCGCAGCGGAACACACCCAGGTTCTACACGTTCTCCGTGGACAGCCGGCTGGCATGGGCGGCACGCTTCACTTTGGGTAGTCCCTGCCGCTCCCACCCTCCGGTCCCAACTCACCATGACCCACACTACCTGCAAGGTTCCTGTAGAACCTTGGTTAGGGGGTCAAGAAACTGCCAGGGGATATTTGGGGTTGAAGGTTGAAGGATCTCAGGGCCATCGTTTCAGGGTCCAGAAAGTGGATCCATGACAATTTCAAATTCTGTTTTACAAGTTCCCCCCTTTTGATCAAGATGTCTTGGGAACTCTGATCCAAACCTACCTTCCTTCCTTCCTTCCTT